CTTATATATCCAAATATTATTTCTATAGTGAAGTTATTTCGTTATAAATGGGCCCAATCGGTATTAAAAGCCATCAGAATTTGCCAGGTATCAATGAGCCTCCACCTAATCTCCACTTGTAGATTGTTTTTCACAAACTTTTTGACTTTTGCGCTGCAAATGAGAAAATGACAATGTACTTGTTACTGTTGTTTTTGCCAACATGTGCTGCCAATGACTCTGGTAGTACGCGAAATTCTGCCCAAATGCTGGTCAAGTTTTAGGAAGAACTTAAACAGCCACCGAATTATTGGAAAATGGTAAAAGAAAATTGTATGTAAAATGTCGTATAGACTTTCAGAGCTAAACTAGAAGGAAGGAATAGTGGTAATCCATGATTTGTTTTCTTCCATCAATTTCATTAAATTCATTCCAATAAATTGTATATATAAAACATAATAAATCCACATAACCTTCCCATTAATTCCACTCTGTCATAGTTAGAGTTTCTGTATTAACTCAATTTAAAATATATTCCTTATTGAATAAAAGCCAACAAAAAGGTAAAAAATCCATAACAAGTATTTAAAATTTGCCTTGATTGCCACTCACTCAATAAAAGAGACTTTTATAAATAAATATTTAAATGTACAGTAGCTCTAAAAGATAGATCAGCAAATGCAGTAATCTATGGAGAACTAATAAACTCATTAAATGATAGTACAAAATTTGCTGTATTTTTCAAGTGTGATTTGTTATCTAATCAAAAAACTCCACAAACTGACGTGGCCTAATATGACCGAGAAATATCTAGAAAATATTCCCAAAAAAACTTTTAATAAAACAAAACAAGCACTCTTTGTTTAAATTGTTTATTTTTTCTAAAACCTATTTTGTTTTTTTATCATCTGGTTTTCTTTGTTGTTTTTATGGTTCTTGTTTGGGAACAGGTAAATTACAATGTAAATTAATTATTTCACATGTTTAACATATTGTTTGGGTTTTATCTTTTTTAAGGAGTTTGATTTGTTTGGTTTTCTTTTCCCTCACAACATTTCGGCGCCATCTCTTTCTCAATTCTGCCTATCGCTTTCGCGCCATAAAGGTAATAAAAGTTGGTTTAACAAAGTTTTTGTTATTAGAACTAATTGTAAATTTATAAATTATAAACTTAAAGCAGTTTGTTACCAATTTGATAGCTTGTAACATACATTTCATACGCATTTATTTTTTGTTTGTCTCTGCTTGTTGTTTTATTTATTTAATTTTTTATTTAGTTTGTTTGGAGGAGATAGCTGGTTGTTCTAAATAAATGCGTACGTTTAGGAAGCAACTTAAAATGTACAGTGACAGTTTTTGTTGTAGTTTTGGATGTGTGTGTGTGTTGTTTTGTGTGCTGAGTGAAGAAATAATGTATAATAATTGTGGAATATTTTTCTCTCTTGTATTTTGAACTCCGCGTTTATGACTCTGTCAGTGGGGGAAATCGGGAGACGGACAACGGACGACGAACAGTGGCACACTGGTAACACATTGGATCAAAGAATAAAAGCCATTCCATAGGATCCCAGATCCCTGCTGGCCGCATTTTTTACACACAAACGACAGATCATCATAAAAAACGTTTGTTAGCAGATTTATATATCTCTTTGTTGTTGTTGTTGTTGTTAGCGGATGATGTGAAAAAGTTACAATGGATGTGTGCTTGGGGTCTGAGGCTGAAGTAGGGATTAGCTGCCCTCGATCCGGTCTAGCCGATCATCAGCCCGCAGCCGAGTCTGAAGTTATTCTTCACGTGGTTCATGCGTCCGCTCAGGGCGAGCGTAAATGGCAATGGGGTCAGACGCTTCTCCAAAACACCGGAGATGTGCCAGTTGGAATCAATTCCTCCTGAAATTGGAGATAAAATTAAGTAACGGGTCAGGGACAATCCAAAGCCAAGGGTCTCATTTGGTTTCTTCAATTTTTCTCCGCGTTAACTTAATTTTTTCTTTTTTTCTTAGCCACACGTAACGAAAGATTTAAAACAAAAACAATTGATAAATAATAGTACAACAAATATAACTAAAACATTGTTTTGTTACTAGTAATATGTAATATCACTATGCATTGATATTATTAGCTTTAATATATTTTGACGAAATATATTAGAATGTGGCAGAATCAAAAATACTTTATGCATTATAATCAGCGAAAATATCAAAGTGCTTTATATTTTATATACAATTGGAAAGTTATATACCAGAAATATTGCCGATCTTCATTTACTTAAACTCAAAAAAACCCTTCTTTAAGAAACACAAAGCCCTTAGCTGTTGATCAAACGCATATGCTCTCACCTCTGAAGACCAGATCCGCCTTGGGCAGATCGATCTGGTAGGCCAGCGTGGCCACCGACTCCTGCATGCGCAGGCTGGTCTCCACCTCGACACCGACCTGCAGCTGGTCGCTGGCCTTCTGGTAGTAGCACACGTGCAGGCCGCTCTGGCCCAGGGTCCCCGACCACACCGAGTTGCCGGCCGTATAGCGGCCCACGGCGGACACAATGGCTATCTGACGGCCGGGGACATTCGGACCGAACTGGTAGGCCAATTCGGCGCCCAGGGCGAGGGCTGGAGTGACTGACTGCAGATACTGGCCAACGACCACGCCGGAGTTGGTGAATATGCTGGGATTGGCCACCGTCAGCGAGGCGGTGTAATCACTGCCGCGATAGTCGGTCGTCAGCTGCGTGGCCACCATCTTCGAGTCCTGGATCTGTGGGTCACCAAAACGTTGATGATTATTATCTAATGGCATATACATTGTATTTAGATAATATAATTTATAAATCCTGAATAAAATTAGCTATACCAGATACTTAATACCTGTAACCCATGATGAGCTTTACATGTATTTTATGCAAATCATCATTTTAAATAGGTATCTGATTCATCATAAACAATGTCCCATGAACGTTTTTTTGACAATGAATAATTTAAAAATAAATAAAACTTCGGCAAATGCTTCAATAGAGTTTTAACCAAATAGGGCTTTCTTTTTTTTCATAGCTGCCTTCTGCTCTTTTCCTTATTATTTTGGGTAAATATTTTAATGGAGCAATGGTGTTAAATGGAAATTAAGAAAATCCTTTTGAAGTTTATGCCTATCATTCTCTCATCTCTATTATAAGCTATATTTTAACAAATGCAAAGGGGGAAACAAGCGGGCTTAATAGTCACATTAAAGAATATCAAATAAACCTAATGTTTACACTTCTTTGGATGTTCCTTTTAAAAGTAATGGACTCACAATGTCAGAGTAGCCATATGGTGTTCAATAATTTAATGAAATTATTCTACGATACAAGACTTCTTAATCTTCTTTGCGAGTTCCTGGTTCTGACGAAGCTATCCCATCCTATCCTTGTGTATTTATAATTGCCTAAGCCTAACTATATTGTTTTACAATACATTGTATGCAATTACAAAAGTATGTATGTATGTTTCTGCCAAATGTTGTTATCTTATGGTATCAGGCTATGCTGGGCTATATTCGGCTTCTACTAGAACAACCTGATGCCTGAGCCTCCGTGATGTGACTAAGATTGACTAACAATTTTGTACAAATGCCAAGAAGTCATTAAGGAGTTCCTGCGGAGTGTGTGTCGGGGTTATCCTTGGCTTAGGTCCTCCCGAACCCGTAGCCTCTTTGCGGCGGCCTAATCACCGCCAGAACTCACCTGCGAGGCGAACTTGCAGCGCAGACGCGCGGAAAACTGGTGGATGACGTTGGCGTTCAGGTTGCCCGACGGATCAATGTCGCCCAGGAGCACTGGGAACGCCTCCGTGGGGCTGTACTGCTTGGTGCCCACGTAGGTGGCTCCGAAGCGGTAGCCACTGGGGACCACATTGCTCATGTTGATGGTGTGCGACACCTGGAAGTGGTTGCTCAGCCCTTTGTTCAGCATGATCTTGGCGCCCTCGAAGGTGATGGCCTGGATATCTGGGAATGGAGCGAAGAAATGTGCGCTGATAATACATAATATATAATATGGTGCCCCCCAAGCCCCGTACCCCCTCCAAATGCCCCGTCTCGCTCTCGCATGTTGTAGGTTATGTCATCAGAGGTGCGGGGTCTATTATTTCTTTGGCGATTCCCGTACGCTTTTTCCTGACTGAAGTCCACCTACCTTTGCACTTTTTGTGGAGCTCCTCGACGGTCCCGGGATTCTCCAGGGGCGCATCCTTGGCGGCGAAGGTTCCTACGGCGGAGGAGGAGGATCCGGACGGAGCGCCGGAATCGGCGGGCAGGGAAGCCGGTTCCGGGAGGCCGAGACCCAAATTTGAGGCGCCACTGCCACTGGCGCCGGAGGAAGCCGCTAGCACGTTGCCCATTTTCTAAATCCCGATGTAATCTATGTAATTTCAAGCTGCACGCGCTAATCGTGCTTTTTTTTGTGAGTTACGGCGAAAATCACAACGTGACCAGATGGTTAGCGTTTAAAATGGCCTAATTAATGTCGCGGCTGCCGATGTTGCCAGACTGTCGTGGTTTCAAATATTTATTTGGAATTTACAAAATTATTCAATCACAACTACAAAGGTGTATAAAAGTTATATTGTTTACGTACACTGCTTCGTTTTCGACATTAATTTCAAAGTCCTCATTTGAAGTCAATCAAAAAAAATCTAGAAAAATAAACATAAACGAATTTGTACATAAACATATGCCACAAATGTAAATTTTATTGTTTTTCATATTGCCGATTTTTAAAATAACAATTATTTATTCGGAAAAGATATTTGAGCACGCCTACAAAGGTCTATTAAAAATAAATAAGAGCTCCTATTCTTTTTTGACATTCATTCTAAATATATTTTTAACCATTTTTGCTGCAAAAAGAGTATCACAAATTAATTTATATATTTTAAATAAAACACCTATTAAACGAGTTTGCTCCCATAATGTAAAGTATTATATTATCTCTAAGCCGATTAGATTAGACCATAACCATCCCTTGATTAACAAATACCATGCCATTCATATTAATAAAAACGTTTATATTTCAAGTTTCAAGTATATGTATAGCTTTCCCGTTCGGATTTGTGTATGTGGAGTTATGTGTTTTATGAGTTGGGAGCACAGAAACTCGGCTACGTATTTCTCGTGTGACTCATTACCAATAATAGGGACAAAATATAAGTATTTTGGAAAGAGGGGGCCAAACTCAATGTTCACTAATTTCCGTGAGTCACCTAATTAAAAGTTAACTTAAGAGCGAAACTAAAAGTAATTAGAAAAAAAACGAATATACATATATACGTAATTGTTTTGGTGTTTCAGCTAAACTAGGCCATTAAACAAGATTAATAGAGTCAACAAAATGGGTTTTTTGGGGGCTACGATACAAATCAATGTACATCAAACAGTATTGAAAATTATGGATGGGGAGGAAGGTCGGGGGGAATCAACAACAGGATGACTTTTCCGGCTCGGCCACCACGAGGTTAAAATCCAGACTGTTAGGCCGCGAGAAACCGGACTTGATGCCATCCCAGCCATCCTCGGCCTTGTATTCGCCGGATCGAATGCGGGCGTACACCTCCTGGGTGACCATGCGAAAGGCCTCCTCTACATTCGCTCCGGATCGGGCCGATGTCTCGACGAAATGCAGGCCATGCTGTTTGGCAAACTTTTGCGCCTCCTCCGTGGTCACTTCGCGTTGTCCACCGGCATTGATAAGGTCCAGCTTGCAGCCGACCAGCGCGAAGACAGGGCGGTGGGGCTCAATGTGACGCTGCGCCTCCATCATCCACAGCGGTATGTGCTCGAAGCTGGCGTGATTCGATATGTCGTAGACCAGCAGCACGCCCACCGAGTTCCGGTAGTAGGACTTGGTGATCGAACGGAAGCGCTCCTGGCCTGCGGTGTCCCACAGCTGCAGCTTGATCTGTGTGCCGTCCTTCATCTCGATGAGGCGGGCGAAGAAGTCGACTCCAACTGTGGGATCCGACAGCTGCAAAATGTAGGAAAATAGAACACCATTAGGGGGCTATGGTACTGGGATAAGGATAACCATTGAGCTGCCTAAAGCCTAGACTATTAAACATTTTTATTCATTTAGAAACAATATACATGAAAACGCAATAACACTCAAAAATTATGCAAATAACTTATAAAATATAATAAAATTTGTTTTTATCTTAATCCAAATTGTTACTCACAACGATTATTAAAATAAAAAAAACAACTACCAAATAGTGACTAATAATTAGTAGCAATTTAAAACAATTCCTTAATAATGTGTAGAAATTTAAATGTAAATGTCCTTTACAAGTAAAGGATACATTTATACATTTTTCTGTACTTCACCTCAATAATAACTAAGAACCTTAATTGCAACCTCTCAAAAAATGTTTTTTTAATTTAAGAAGCTTACGAAATTTATAAATAGTTACAAGTATATATAATGACTCTCTCCCTTTATTTATTTTTTTTAATTTTCGAAACTTCTTCCTTTTGATATCTCCTTGAATTTTGAATTTCCCGCCCCAGTTTTGTGCAGCCCTGGTCCTTTTTACAGCCTTGTCTGGTGTTGTTGTTGTTTGCATTATCAGGCGAGCACATACACACACTCAGAGCTCACACACACATACTTAGGTGACTAAGGCAGCATCTCAAAAATAATCCACTCCCTTTGTCATTTGCAATCACTTAATTATGTAATAAACGCATTAAATGCATCACAAGAAGATCGCACAGTGGGCATACACATACGCACAGTGGTCAAAATCTTAGGAAATACGCACCTCGGCGAATTTGCCGTCTGTGAAGAACTTCAAAAGCGAACTTTTGCCCACGGTGCTGTCGCCGATTAAAATCAGTCGGAATTGGTACTCGAAAATGGGCTCCACCATTTCGAAGGCGTTTTTGTGAATTTACGGCTCCAAATTAGCAATATTTCAGCGGTTCTATTGCAAAAGTTTGAGACGCAAATCGGTGGTTCGCCTTTTACGGATGATTTGTTCTTTCTTTACTCCAGCAAAACAAAAGATTTGTGTATTGCACTTGGATCCTGGCTTTTCGACGTGTATTTTTCGATTAATTATAAATTATAAATATTCGAGAATTCAGCTGCCACTGAATTTTGTTTTGTTTTGTGTTTTTTTTCTAATGCGCAAACCTGCGCCTGTGTGCGTGCGCTCGTGTGTGTGTGATAAAGGCGGCGATGCCGGACACCCAAAAACTATCGATAGCACAAAAAGTAGCCTTATCGCAAAAGCCAAGTTTCAAACTTGCTAGCCATTGTAAAAATAGGACCCAAAATGGCACTTCTACAGTGTCTTAATATTTTGTCTTAATTTTCTAATAATTTTCATTCAAATTTGTAATTTTAATGTTGATACATTTTTTTAATTGTTTTCATGTTAAATAAGCTAGATTTAGCGTGAAAACGGTAACCGGCTAATGGCTGCGCCTGAGTCGATATGGCAACGCCTCCCAACTGTCATTCTGACAGCTGTTCGGTTGTATATATATATTTGTACGCATTGTGTTTTCCTTTTACGTTTGTTTTCCGTGGAAATTGTCCGTATTTCTCACAGCACACAAATGTACAAACAATTCGCCGGACTTTTGGAGGCATCTACGAAAATTAAAACCTTTTTGTCATTAATTGGCAACCGGAGCCCGTAATTTAGCCGCTCCGGGATACGGAATCCACCTCGTTCTCCGCGTTCTCCTGCTCCTCCTCCCCCGATTCGGTTACGGAACCAATATTATTACCGTTAATTATAGCCACAGCGGGGCGAGAGCATATAGAAATCGCCATATAGATGTTCAAATTCGTGCTAAACGACGCCGCTAACTACGTGCGCTCTAATGTGCGGGATTTCAGTCTGAATGCACTGCGATTTCTCCCGCAACTGCCACAATTGAGTCCATACGATGTAAGTTCTGGAATTGGTAATACCCTATGGGTGTCAATAACAGCCGTTGACTACCACAATTGAGACCATTTGAAGATCGGTAATACCTTATAGATAGTTCCTCTGTTATAGACCCCCATTAAATGCTAAAATTGGCCACAAATATGTAAAATATGGGATCAGTAATACTCTATAAATAACATTATTGTTAGTTAATAATGATATGGAATCAGTAATACCCTATAATATCAATAAAGATCAAATATGTTGTAAAACCCCTTTAATTTACAAATTTGAGACCATAAGTTGTAAAATCAATGATTAGTAGGACAACATAGATAGCACTTTTATAAAATACGAAACCCACAGTTTCTTTTAAATACCTGCTTAGTTAATAATGATATGGAATCAGTAATAACCTATAATTCCTTTAACTTACGAATTTGAGTCCATAAGTTGTAAAATCAATGATTAAAAGTACAACATAGATAACGCTTTTATAGGATGCCAAATCCACAGTTTGTTTTGAATACCTGCTTCCATATTTCCACAAATTTATTTTATTCATCTATAGGGGTGCACCTCTTAAAAAGCAAACTGTGTATACCATTAAGACCCTTAGTTTTAATTGGTTCACCGCAAGTAGAATAACTGCATACAGTATTTGTAGCTATATTTGTATTTATATGCATATAAATCTTCATTTTTTCAAATGAAATGCAGCTTTAAGATCATATTGTTAAAAACAATTTATTAATGTTATCATCTCATGTGCAGTATATATATTTTAAAAAAATAATAATAAATAGAACATAAAATGTACCCAAATTTACCTTAATTTTAGTTGATTTCAGTTGAAATATTTTAATATGAAAATGGACTTATTAAATGAAAAGATAACATCTAAGTGTGCTCTTGTTATTTATCGTCTTGTTTTATATTTTTATAACTAAAAAGCCATTTGCATAGCACACGTCTAGAATGGTATTTTTTTTTATAAAATCTATTTATGTATATTTAAACATATATCTATAAATGAATAGAGTTTATAGAAACGTGTGGTAAAGATCTTAAACTTGAAAACCATTAAATCGGCATCAGTGGGTGCTCTCGCAGAAACACAAAGATCCTTTGTTAATCCCAATCATTCCCCACAGGTTAACCTAGTTTTGAGGGAGAACGAGTTCGTCTACAACTTTCCCGTGGACGGAGTCATCCGGAGCTATGAAACGAATCAGCTGGGATCCAATTCTCCCTGTGAGGATTCCCGCACGGAGGCCAGTTTGCTGCACCGCAACGGCTTCATCTGTGGCATTTTCGACGGCCATGCGGGAGCAGCCTGTGGCCAGGTGGTGTCCAAGCGGCTGCTTCGGTATGTTTCAGCAGCCACTTTGCCTCGCCAGGTGCTCCGGGAACAGATGAAGCAGGGCTGCAGCAGCCAGTCATTCCTCAAATGCCACAACGACAACGTGGACTTCGTCAGCGAGATCAAGCCCATCTACGAGGCCAGTTTCCTTAAATATATCAAGCAGCTGACGGAGACGCCGCAGCGGGATGTGTCCAGCGAACTGGTGCACGCCTTTCTCCAGCTCGACGAGGGTCTGTCCCAGGAGGCGTTGTCCAGCAGCGATGTGCGGACCATGAGCGTCGCACTATCCGGTGGGTGTTAACTATAACGATATATGTACAACTTTGAAGCTAAGCGGGGTTATAAAATGCAGCATTATGTTTAAAATGGGATTGTATGCTTTCCACCGAATTGCATCAAATACTCCTAAGAACTCTATTTTGGCCAAAACAATTTTAATCCCTGAATTAATCAGCTCTATATGCTAAATCTTATCGTTTCTACAATGTCTTATGAAATGCCTTAATCAATTCATGTTATATTATTTATAGACCAAAATTATACTTTTAAATTTATAAGCTTCAAATGGCATTTTTAATTTTCTTCATCTAATAATTCTGGATAGCCCATGATGATTTATTTAAAACTTAAATTTATTTGTAACAAATAATAAAACTGGTGAATTCTCAGGCTCCGTATGGCACGTTTAATGTTTTGCACAAACCAAATGCTGATAATTACTTTTCAAACATTATTTAATATATATTTACCTTTCAGGAGCCGTTGCCTGTTTAGTGCACATGGAGGGCCTGCAGCTGCACGTGGCCAGCACGGGTGACTGCGGCGCCGTGTTGGGCGTCCTCGATCCGCAGACGCAGCAGTGGCAGCCAAAGAAGCTCAATATCGAGCATAATGCGGACAACATGACGGAGGTGCGTCGCATCCTGGCCGAACATCCCAAGGAGGAGCAGGAGACGGTGATCCGGAATGGCAGACTGCTGAGCCAGCTGGCGCCATTGCGTGCCTTCGGGGACTTCCGATACAAGTGGTCCCTGGACATAATGCAGCAGAAGGTGCTGCCCATGTTCGGCGAGCAGGCAATGGCGCCAAATTACTATACGCCACCGTACCTAACCGCCCGCCCCGATGTTCAGCAACACGAACTGGGGCCCAACGACAAGTTTCTAGTCATCGCCAGTGACGGCCTGTGGGATTTCCTCTCGCCCAGCGAGGTGGTCAGTCTGGTGGGGGAGCACATTAACTCCAAAAAGATCCTCGAACCGATGCGCCTGCCCGAGGGCGACACAACGCTGCAGCAAATCTCTGAACAGCTAGTCGAGCGCAAGTCAGTATAAAACTCATTTGGAAATTGATGTCCACTAATTATGATGTTGTCTTACAGAGCTGGTCTCACCCGCAAGCCCGTGGACCAGAACGCGGCCACGCATCTCATCCGACATGCTTTGGGCGCCACCGACTATGGGATTGAGCACTCCAAGATCTCGTACTATTTGACGCTGCCGAAGGACGTGGTACGTCTGTATCGCGACGACATCACTATCACCGTCATCTACTTCAACTCGGAGCACATTGCCCAGCTGCACAGCGAGGCGGAGCAATCGGGGGTCACTGCGCCGGTAGCGTGATCTCCGTAATCTTCGTGAGAATATGTGTATATTTAACGAGCCTAACCTTCAGCCTAACTAGCCTAAGTGTTGCGTTTAAGTTTGTTTCATCCGCCATCGGACCTCGGACGACTGCCGCGCCAAATAAATCCCACGGGGAAAGCGAAAAATCACATATGTAAATTGACTTGTTAATGAAGAGAGCAGGGATTGGCCTTAGTTGTAGATTAAATAAAAGCTCTGACCTACTGCAATTCCATAATATGTATATTAAGTAATGTTATTCAGCAACAAATAGGTTCTTCATTTATTTATTTTCAAAGAATTCGTGATATTGTAAAGTAGCTAATATTTGTTTTAAAGCAATCTTATCCTAATTTTTTTGTGGTTTAAAATTATGCAAACAATTTGTATTTTGTATACTCTATTCCATTTTAAAATTTCTTATGCTATTCTATATTATGCCAATTTTTTTGTTTTTCAACGTGTAAGACTTTAATTTTGGGATTCAAAAGGATAAGCCAGAAAAATCCTAATCCTTATTGTATGACTGCAATCGAATTATCCATCTTTAAGAATTCAAAATTTTACACTATCTTGCCGTAATCCCCCAGATCTTGTATCATTTTCGAGAATCGATTTATTTTACACTTATATTCAATTACAATTGTTTATAACGCTGGGTTATATATATAAATATATATATATATGTATACGCGATTGGCTGGTGCAAAAAGGTGAGGGATTTAGGGTTCCGGGTTTTCGTGGGTGGAGGGTAAAGCTAACTGAAGAACACGGAAGCCGCGAACTTGCAAACTGGTAAACGGTACGAGTCCTAATCCTATACATGGAAAAAACTAAGCAACTACTCAGGGATCGGGGGGTTTGTGTGGGGTATCAGGAATGGCAAGGGGTGTCTCTAATCCTTGCCATCCTGTTCGGCCGCCTCCTGCCGACTGACGCAATTGAGGAACTCCATCTGAATGTGCGTGATCTGTGTCTTGCTGAAACACTGCATCTTCTTCTTGAGGAAGTCGAAGAACAGATCGAGCTCATCACGTTTGGCCAGCGCCTGGGCCACTTGATGCTGCTGATGCAGCTCCTCCTCTTTGACGAGGTTGTTGGAGCTGCTGGCCGCCGCACTAACGGCCAATGGCTGGCCGGATCCGCAACTCAGGGGGGGCAGCTGAAGGATCGTGGCCGTCGGCGTGGATGTGTAGGATGTGGTGTTGCACAGCGCGGCTGCTGGAGTGGTGGTCACCGTGGCGGCATTCAGAGAAATCGCTGGCGTGCTGGAAATCGTCACACTGGTGCTCGTCGCCTCGGTCACATCCACCAGGGAAATCTGCTGCGTGGACACCGAGGAATCATGACGATTGGATGGCCCACCGCCTCCTGCCGCCGACGCCGCCGTGGTGGTGACCAGCGTGAGATTCTTGAGCTTGCCATCGGCCACCAAAGTGCCACCGGCGAGGACACTGTTCGAGGCATTGCCCGATCCTCCACTGCTCGAAAACTGATGCTGGCTGGAGCGAACCGACTGCGGTTCAATGTCGGATATGCAAAAGTCATGGGCATCGATGTAGTGGAAGCCCTTGCCGTTGGTAACATCGCTGCCGCCGTCAACGGCATCGCCCACGCCCATCTCGCAGTCCACATGGGCACCGCTGGCCTCCTCGTACAGGCACACCTCCTCGTAGTCTACCTCGGCGCCGGTGGCTCCGTCCTCGTCCAGTTCATGCTTCACAATATCAACCTGACCATCGTGATCCACCACATCATCGTCGTCGTCCACATCATCGACCACATCGTCATCGTGGGCAATCTGGGAGAGCTCAATGCTGGAGATGCTGCCATCGTGCTGCGACTGATGATGATGGTGGTGATGATGGTGCGGCTGGTGGTGATGGTGCTGCTGCTGGTGGTGGTGGCCGTGATGATGGTGATGGTGGTGTTGCGAAACAGTGTCGTCCGACACGCCCTCCTCGTAGGCGGTCAGGATGAAGGTCTCTGCCTCTTCGCTGACCAGTGTGATCTGCGAGGTTCCGTGATGCGAGGATAGCGTGCCCGTATCGTGATCCGACTGCCCATCATCGTCCACCACCTCGTCATCGTCGTCGTCCACATGCTGTTTCAGATGCAGCATCGCCCCAATGGGCAAACTGGTGCTATTTGCGCCACCCACGCCCCCGCCTCCTCCGCCACTCGCCTCATAGCCACTCTGGGTGTTCCGGTGCGATTTCAACTTGGGCTGGTACACCGTCGACAGGAAGTCCAGCTCCTTGGCGTAGCGCCACTTGGACAGCCGGCCCTCGATGTACTTGGGCGTGCGCAGGCGGTACTGGTGGAACGTGTCCCGCAGGTTCTTCCACTTGCGACGCACCTCCTGCACCGTGTACTTGTCTGAAATGTCGAAAATAGGATAATTAACAGGAGTTTTTTATTAAGGATCACGTCGACAATTAGTTTAAATTAGAAATACCACGGACTTCTAGGTCCGTGAAATAAATCTGGTAATACACAATTGACTCGATATGGGAGAACTAAAAGGGTGGTTAATATGAGATCATGTTTATAAATATTATTATAAATAACTGATTCTTAATATAAGAATTAAAAGCGGGGTTTATTTGAGCTCATATTTATAAATAAGTTTCAAAGTTGAAATAGGAGAGCTTACAGTATGACGATTTATTTACTAAAACCTATTGCAACTCTATAAGAACAGGTCTTCGTGGAATTCTTAATGGTTTAAAAAAATTGACACAATTGTGTGTAACATACACATTTCTTACTAAATCCGAACCACTTACTATTTCAAACTCTTTTAAATAGATTATTAATAGAATTTTAAAATGTAACCTAACAAATACCTAAGTGAATAAACTACCTTCATAAGATTGAATTTGTATCTGACCTTTTTTTAAATTAAATAAGAGCTGGTCCCTACTCACTCTTTGAAGAGCTCTTAAAAGAGCGTTAATAATTGAGCTAATCCCCGCTAGGAAATTACTATGCCTGGAAGCAGGATAATCTCAGCCAGAATTCTCCATTCTCTATTAAATTGATTGAAGTAGATTTGATGGATGTGAAGGGTAATCCCCGCCAGAACCTGTAACTCACTTCCTATCTGCTGGGCGACCTCCTGCCATCCATTAAGGACATCGGAGCGGCGTCGCTGGTTCGGTTGCAGCTTGTAGTTGTAGAGGGCCGGATTCTGGCGCACCAGGTTGATCAGCGTTAGGATGTCGTCCGTGGGCGCGTTGTCCTTGTGGTAGCGCTTGCGCTCTGACGTCGATGAGGACATGTTGCTTCGATGGTGCTGCTACTTTTAGTGGGGATTCACTGGGCCTGTGCTCCTGATCCAGATCTTTATCTTGATCTGATCCGTATCCTGAAGATCCGCTGCTCACATTTAATTGTTTTGTTTTTGTTTACCCAGAAAAGAACGATTTTCGATAGTTCTCGTCGAGATGCACACACACACACACACCGACCCACAGTTGGGAATCCGTGTAGGTGTAAAAACCCGCACGCACACACTCTCGCACACTCGATATAAACGGACAGCGAGTGTGTGCGCCAGGATCTTGTCTTTTGGGATCTCCACCAACCAATTTTCTTCAGACACAAGTCCTCCTCCTGGGGGATTATCTAAAATTGTCCGATTTTTCCCAGCTCTTGATGCTCTTGCTTTGCTTTTTTTGCTATTGCTTTTTTTTGGCGTTGCTTATTTCGCGCTAGAGATGACACATCGCGCAATTGGCGTTCCCTTTCACAGTCACGGTTTCAAGAAGTCACCTGTCACTGAATAGAGAAAGTCCTTAGATTTAATAAGTGTGAATAATCCCATGGAAATTCATTAAGCCTTAAGATGCTCACTCAACTAGATTTGGCTGATGCTTAAGCCTTTTTTTTTGTTCATGACCAAGTGATACACCCTAGCATTATATTTTAAAATAAACAAATCACATCTTTGAAATCAAAAATGTGTATTAACATTAAATGGCAACCTATTGTTGGTATAGTTTTAAGCTCGTTTGATTTAATTAAATCAAAGGCTTTTAAATAATATCAAATCATTTAATTTACTGCTTTTAATTAATAATCAGTGCAGGCACACAATTAAATACTATTTTTGTATGAACACACGTGACTTATCTTTATATAAGCTATTATACAAAAATATGAAATGTCAAAAAATAAACAATTTTAAATAAGCCTAGGAAGAAATTATAAATTAGATTGTGACATAACTGAATTAAAATTAAATTAAATTAATCACGCTATTAAGCAGTGTTGCACACCAATCAATGAGAACTATCGATAGCTCAGCGCACATGCGAGCCTGCGTTTATTTTTTTTCTCCTCACCCGAAAAAAAAAACAATTGTAAATTAGCCGCAAAAAGCAGAGGAATTGTTAATGATAATGAGCACGCCGGCGAAGAATACCAATGGAACCGGGCTGGAGGATGTGAATATTCCAGGTCAGGCGTACCTGCGCGAAGCCTTGACCTCCTGCACGGATCCTTTGAAGGCCATCGAGAGTTTCCAGGTTTGTTTACGTTGCACTACAAATGGGCGCGAAAAGTTTGGATGATTATTTCATTATTCCACCTGTTATTTTCAGCTTGAAAATGGTGTCCTGCTGCCTTCACTGCGTCCCATGTTGCCTTTACTCGATTTGCACGGAGTTCGCCGCCTGGATTTTCATACATCCCTAATGGAGGAGCTGCGCGACAAGCTGATAGCCCACATCAATGAGATGGGCCAGAAGGAACCCCGCGAGCGGGACAAGAAGCTTAAGGAGCTGCTGGTGAAGAGCTTTCCCGTCGTTCGGGTTAAATCCCTGCGTCCCGTGGTCATGGCCATTCTGCGGAACACCCAGCACATCGACGACAAGTACCTCAAAATCCTCGTTAGGGACCGCGAACTCTACGCGGATACGGACACGGAGGTCAAGCGGCAGATATGGCGGGACAATCAATCGCTATTTGGCGACGAGGTGTCCCCCCTACTATCGCAGTATATACGGGAGAAGGAGCACATCCTGTTCGACCACACCAACCTGAATAATCTGTTCTTCCAGCCGACGCCCAAAGTCAGAAGGCAAGGGGAAGTGGTCCAAAAGTTGGCTAATATGATTGGAACTAGCGTCAAGCTATACGACATGGTTCTGCAATTCCTGCGCACTCTCTTCCTGCGCACTCGCAATGTCCACTATTGTACGTTGCGAGCGGAGCTACTGATGGCCTTACACGATCTCGAGGTGCAGGAGATCATCTCGATAGATCCCTGCCACAAGTTCACCTGGTGTCTGGATGCCTGCATAAGGGAGAAAAATGTGGACATTAAGCGTTCCCGGGAGCTGCAAGGATTTCTGGATAACATCAAGCGCGGCCAGGAGCAGGTCTTGGGTGACCTCTCCATGACCCTATGCGATCCCTATGCCATTAACTTCCTGGCCACTTCGGCCATTAAGATACTGCACCACTTGATCAACAATGAGGGCATGCCGCGTGACAATCAGATACTCATCCTTCTACTAAGGATGTTGGCCTTGGGATTGAGTGCCTGGGTGATGATCGATTCGCAGGACTTTAAGGAGCCGAAACTGGACTGCCAGGTGGTCACCAAGTTTCTGCCCGCCCTCATGTCGCTGATGGTGGACGATCAGTGTCGGAGTTTGCATGCCAAGCTGCCGCCCGATGAGCGTGAGTCGGCGTTGACCACCATCGAGCATTCGGGACCGGCACCGGATGCGGTGGAGGCGTACATACAGGAGAGCTCCGTCGCCAGCATTCTGGCAATGTACTACACGCTCCACACGGCACGGCTGAAGGATAGAGTAGGTGTGCTGCGCGTCCTCGCCATTCTATCCGCCTGCAAGGACGATCGGGCATACGAGGATCCCTTCCTGCACTCGCTAGTAAGTGTTTATTACACATTTTCTATTAACATTGTGCAGATAAATGTACCTAAATCATACACATTTATAGATCGCTTTGCTCATTCCTATGAGTGAGGAATTCGCCACGGAGGACTTCTGCACCACGCTCTTCGACGAGTTCATCTTTGCAGGACTGACGCGCGAGAATGTGACCTCCCGCCACATGCTGAAACTGCTGTGGTATGTGCACAATAAGCTGCCCGCCGGTCGCCTGGCCACATTGATGAAGGCCATGCAGCCGACGACGGCCCACAACGAGCACATCCACAAGTTGTACGAAACGCTGCAGGAGAGGATTGGAACTGGGGCGGCGGAGACACCGGTTATTGAGGCGCCGCCCATGGAGTTCGATTCGCCGCTGAAGAGCGTTCCTACGCCGGGACCACATTACAATGTCCAATAGCTAGAGGCGCCGGCAGTCGCACCGCCAGCGGCTGTCGTCGGATGATGATCGTTGATGATAATGATGGTGATGATTTTCGGTGGACAGTGATGTGGCACCTTCTTTACTTCTGAGCAGCCGGAGGGATGGCAATCCCCATTTAGCATGCATGCGCAAATCATAATTATACTGTTTAGACTAAGCAGCAAGCTCTGCGGCCGAGCAATCGGATATAGTTTACATATTTACAAATGTATGGCTTTGTTAGCAGGCAACCAATTTGTTGTCGCTGGCTATTATATATTATATATTACTGTTACGCTAGTGTAACGATTCTAGTACACAATATAGAGTACAAATCTAAGGCGCGGTGTTTATTAATTTCACTTGGATATTGGGTTTTATTTTGCTGCATAGTGGCAAAGAAACCGCGCATTGCAATCATGGAATGAAAACTAAGCTGCATAATGTTTTCGATCAGTTTAATTTTTATACAATTTTAATGCTTTACACAATAACTGATGTTTTTTCGGGCAGGAAGAATGTAAGGTTCCTAATATGATTAGGTACTTTTAACGCTTATAGCTTAGGGAAATAAACCAAAACTAAAGAAGGTTTTTAGGGATAGGAGTCTTTCGTCTCATGTCTGAAATGTTTCAGCTGCTTTGGAACTGGAAACTGGAGCTGCTCCCGCTGCGAAACCGGCCAGCGAAGTGGAGGCAGGTCCACTGGATTCGGAAGCTTTCGAATCTTGCACGGGAAACGTATTCCACGGAGGTAGTGAAGAAGCCGACAACATATTGTCTATTCAGACGGTGGGCGAGTCTGGGGTTTAGATCTCCGGCGAGAGACTCGGAGCAGGTGGAGGCGCAGACAGCGATGACGATGAGGAAGAGGTAGATGAGGACGACCCAGAGTTGGAAGATGAACCCGAGGAAGATATGGAGCTGCTGGTGGTGGTGGTTGTGGAAGTGCCTGTTGTCACAGCCGTTGGTGACCCTCCTTTTTCAGTGGCCTCTTCCCCGGCTGCCTCATCTCCAGTTAGCCCTGCCCCCGGAGATGATTCCGCTGACGAGGCAGTTTTCGGCAGTGGAGGGGCGGGTGTGGCAAAGATATCCTTTTGCCTTTCAGATTTGGCTTCCTTAAGCAGGTCTACGTACTCCGAGTACAGGCGCTGCCATTCGGAATGTGGCTTCAGTGTGTCCAGTACACACTGCATTAACTCCAACTTTGGCACGAACTAGAGTGGGATGGAGGTATATGATATAGACAGAACGATCCTTTAAGAGTTGATCTCTTACCTGTGATATTCCCGGCTCCGGAATGCTGAGCAGGTCGTCCAGGAACACACGCATCCTCTTTTCAGAGCCGTGGGTGGCCAGCTGGAAGGTGAGCATCTTGTGCCAGTGCTGCAGTTCATCCAGCGATTGGAGGGCCTCGCACAGCTTGATCTGGTTCTCAATAAACCTGATTTTAGCGCTCTGCTGCCAGCTCTCCGAATTTCTCCTAAAATGTGAAGATTTATAGATTTAAACAACTACGATCAATTTATCACTTACAACTCCATGCCGCCAGTGAAACAGAAGTAATTCTGACTGCTGGCCTGCATGCTGAGAAGCGGAAACTTTTGCTGCATTTGGTCCATGTCCCTGGGCAGTGTTCCCCGGATGCCGTGGTACATGATGGCATCCTTGGTGGCCAGCACCAGCCACGATTGTAGGCTCGTCGAGTAGGAGTACGAGTTGCCACTGGGGAATCCAATCAGCGGCATGCCCTGATCCGTGACCGAAAACTGTACGGCCGTTCCATGCTTATTTAGCAGCTCCAAGCAGCCCGCCGCCAGGCTGATGACCTTCCTGGCGATGTCCCATATCCGCAGCAATCCGCACTCGGTCAGCACACCCACCAAACTGTTGTCCGGACTCTGGAATAAGATGCGATTAGCTTGGGTGGAGTTAGCTTCCATAATCACGACTAAATTTCAAAGATTTTCTTTCAGCGTTTGCATATTTTTAACAATATTTTGTTAAAAACAATTTCTAAGTGTCCCAAAGGTTTGCATAATTTTCACAGCCAAAAACAATCAGTTTTTAGTTATGATCATTATAAATGGGAAAATTATGAAAAATCAGTTGGAAACCAAAGCATAACATTTATGGAAAACCTAACATCTTTGAGTAATCAAATCGTGAAATGGCGGCTTTAAATCTTTATATAAATGCTTGTTATCCGGACTCACAAAAGCGCAATGCACTGCGGAACTGGTCAGCGAGATGGCCGGAAAGACTGGGCAGCCCGTCTCCATGGAAATTAGTCGCATGCTCCCATCCAGGGAGCACAGCATGGCGTATTTTCCACACAGATTTAGGTTGACCACCGGTGATCCCACGTAAAACTCCCAGAGCATTTCCTTGGAATCCGAGGCGGTGACTTTCGCTAGCATCCCGTGATTTGTCTTTAGATAACCATTCTGGACATGCACACGATAGTCCAATGCGGCCTTGACAAACTCACTCTTTCCATTGACCGTGACATTGAGATTGCTGGGACCATTGGTGCTACTTTGGTGCTCCTCCAGTCGAGGAGATCGTGGCAGTTCGCTGGTCTGGCCAGGATCGAAGGGCAGCGATTGCCGGCGCTGGCTGGCGGGTTGGGTTTTAAGCCTGGAATCCAAGCGACCCAGATCCGCCTTGCTAACCAAAGGTTCCAGCGGCATCAGGGGCGTGGCAGCGCCCTCCGTTGGAACGGCACATGAAACCGCTCCGCCCGCCGCCGAGCAAGATGTTAAAGCTGTCGCCGCCGATCCACTACTGGACACTATATGCGAGCTCAGGGATGTGGGTCCCTCCTCATGCAGTGGTATAAACATAGGTGTGATCCTTCGCTTGCCATCCTTGGTCCTCGTTTCCGTCTGTTTGCTAATGGGTCGTTGGTTGGCTTCGTTGTTGCTGGATGGGAATTTCACGGGTTTGCCCCCATGAGGTAGCAGCAATCTGTGCGGTTGGCCCATGAGTGCAGTATGACCATTGCCATAACTTGCGCCGTACATTTTCTGTATTATATTCTTCTGCTCATCATCGGAGAGGGCCGTCCCGAGTTCCTCCTCGGAGAACTTCAGGCAGGCAATGCTGCCATCGCCGCTGCAGGCCATCAGCAGGCATTCCTGTGGGCCCCAGGACAAATCCAGAATGCTGTCGTTGAACAGCTCATGGATGACGATCATGGGCCGCTGCAAGGCGTTCATCCAAACGGACAAGGAACGATCTCGCGAGCCCACAGCCAGGCAGCAGTATTGCAGGGACTTACTCGGAGTCTCATCGTTCACCTGGCGCCTTAAAATAGAATTGTGGAACCTTACACAGGTCACCGCCTTGCGATGACCCACGAAATCCTTGTCGCACTTCCAGCCCTCACGTTCGATGATCTGTGCAGTGGGTCCGCCGCCGTTCATTGCATGCGCCGAGACCAGGTACTGGCCATCCGGTGACCAGGAGAGCCTCAAAATGTGCGTGGTCCCGCCGCATTCCTCAAAAGGTTCGGTGATCGTGTGCGACAGGTTCCAGTCCATGGTGTTCCAGATCTTGATGCTCCGGTCGTCCGATTGCGAGGCCAGAAAGTGACCCACCGGATCCCAGGACACGCCCTTCACCAGGCCCGTGTGTCCTTTTAAGGTGGCCACCGAGTGCGGGAATGCCTGGGCATCCCAGATGATCACCGTGTTGTCGATGCTGCAGCTGGCCAAGTAGATATCGTTGGGTGACCAGGCGAGGTCCAGGACATCGCCGTCATGACCGCGCAGTGTGTGAAAGCATTTCCATGATTCGTGATTCTTTTGCATGCCGCCGGAACCGAAAACACCGCTGGATCCCGCGCATTTGCGCCAGATCATAATGAGCTTGTCGTCCGAGCCGGAGGCCAGATTTTGGCCATTCTGCGACCAGCGGACGCAGTTGACACAGGCCAGGTGCTGGTCCATTTGGCACAACATCTTCGGGACATTCGCATCGAATTCCGCCTTGTCGGAGAGCACCGGCAACAGATTCCAGATGACCACGCGTCCGCAGTCGCTTCCCTGACCTCCGGTGGCGAATTTCGTGCAATCCTGATGGATATCCACCGAGAATATCTGTTTGTCTGTCGGTAAAAGCACAGGAATTACAGGGAATATAATTTCATATGTGGGAGGAACCTTTTGCCGGCTTTTGGGTTTCTTATTTCCCTTTTCCCTGAACTCACCATCGTGATGCACCCAAGCCGGCTTGAGGAGCCGCATTTAGAATACACCAATTAGTATTTATCTTCTTTGTACAATTAACTTTAACCTAGGTTGAGCTAATAAGTTTAACTTAACTAAATAAACAGCTTAAAAAAACAGCTTGCTGCGCGTGGCCGTAGATTCTTATCGACACAATACCAACTCCTGTTCGCTGAAGCTGAGAATTTCACAACTGGTCACACTGCCTATGGCGGGAAATTCAAAAATGTTTTTGTGTTAGCTGTTAGGTTTTGTTGCATTGAGATTTGTAAATATCAAAACCACGTAAAAACTTAGCAATTCTCTAAAAATAAATGAACCATACCTTTTCAATTAGTGAATAATAATTTTGACAATTTTATTATCGAAATAAATCTAATCGATTTGCAATATAAATTTGGAAGACACAAAAAAATGTATTTTAATAAAATTATAAATGTAAAAAAGACACTACACAAATTATTATTTTTCCGGTTGAAACCTAAAACAAAAAACAAAATTGGAAAAATTGAGAACAAAAACCAACTCACAGCAATGATGATAGGTTAACTTGTTTACGAATAGACAGATACAAAATGTGTTTTAATATCTATATATTTTCAATACATGTAATAAGTATGACCAAAACAATGCCCTTATTACAACAGTAAATAAAACTAAAGTCCTTGAATCGGTTAAGGTATATCTATAAGAATCTGTTTATTACATTGATGACTCTGAAGCTTAGGAGGTTTTGATACCACAATAAAGTTTAATTGATTAAGATTCATTGTTGGAAGCATTTGTTTACAAATACCTAATAAAAACATGCCAGAATTCTTTTTAGATTATGGCACCTCCCCCTTTTGGGTACCTTTCTTCCTATAGGACCCACTTTTCCTACTTTTTTTTTTGCATAACTGGGTGGGTGGAGTAAAACTAACGAAAGGAAACGAACAACGAGAAAAGCGGCAGCTAAAACACGAAAGTTTTCCTAAGCGCTTGGCTGTCATTGGTTTCCTCAGTTCGTGGGCGTGGTTGGGGGAAAATGAAATGGGGGTTGGGGGTGGGATCGAATGAATCAAAATAAGACTAATATTTTGAGAGGACTAACAATTTAGATGGGAAATTGCTTTTGCACAATTTCACATTTGCTTAATTTGCATACACGAAAATTGTCTCCGAATATGTTGTTTGCGTAATTGTTTGTTTGCATTGTACTTCTCCCCGCGTTTCGGCAATGCAAATCTCAAGCCAAAAGCAAATTGACTGACAATCCGGACTGTCTCGTCTCAATAAAGTGAAAAGCGAAATAAAAGCGGTGTGCTAGCCCACTTTACCTGGGACAATTTGCAATCCAACGCATCTGTCGCCGGCAACATGTGGCGTCAATGATGTTCCCCTAACATTCCCCCTTTTCCACGCTTTTCACCAGATTTTCCACAGATTTTTCCCCCCTATTTTCCCACTCATTTCTCTGGTCCATTCTCAATGCCACTTGACAATTGTCAACAAAGCGCACGTAAAGCGATTACAGTCTGCGTGAGTGCAGGGATATGGAAATGGAAGTGGGTGTGTGGAATCGGATCCTGCTCCTGGGACTCACACTCCATGGACATCTTTTCTCGCACTGTGTGTATCTGACGGATATTTGGCAAATCCGACGCCAGCGGCACTTAAGCTCCTCAAGATTGTTCACATTGTCAGGCATAAAAGATGGGTTTTCCAGGAAGAGCAGTTGAGGTATATGTATCACATATTTGTGGAGGCATTGGGACATTCGTCTTTCTTATATCACCAAAAAAGTCTATGTAGAACATATTATATAAATATATATGTGTACTGATCTACAAATATTATAGCTTACTTAGGAGGCAACATAACATATTTTCTTAATGTTAAAATATCTGTTAGTAGTACATAAATTAAAAAGATTACCCTTAAACACTTAAAAAAACCTTTTGTCAGATTTTTTTAATCCAATTTATGTACTGCAACAATAATTTGAATTTTTATAACAATAATAAATGTTAGTAATTAAAAAAATGTTTAAACAAAATCATTGAAAATACGTGTTTTTGTGTAGTTTTTTATACTGCATTCTGCTCTTTGCCTAAATAATCAAAAAACTTATTTGCAAGGGATTTAAAATTTTTAAGAAAACATAAACTAAAGTGTAACAAGTTATGTTTGAAAAAATGTACTAGCCGCTTTTAAATTAAAAAAAAAACGTTTTAATTTTAAGGCACCTAAAACGAGTCAATTAAATAAAGTCTTTCAAAGTTTCTTTCAATAAATTCTACCCCCATCCAAATAGGAAATAAAATTCTAATTTAATTAATGCAAAACTCAAGCAAAAAAGTTTCAAATATCCCGCCCACTAATTCATTAGCCGCAGCCCAGAAGATATTTTTTTATTTTGGGAAAATGGAAAAGGGAAATCTTTTTGGGCCTGAGCCTGAGCCCAAAATCAAACCCACGAAAAGCTGGCGACTTGATTGTCCTTGATGGATGGATAGAATGGATGGAATGGATGGATGATGGACGTTCCACCAACCACAGGAACCACTCATAATGGAGAATGGCGAATGGATGGATGGTGGTGCGGCGCTAAAAGCAAATGACAATCAGCGGGAAGAGCGGCAAACATTTAACAAAAAGACAAGAAACAAAGTTTAAAATCTAAAAAAAAATGGAAAGGCGCGAGGGGCGAGGGGCGAGGGGGTGGAGGAGGGGGGCTAAGAACGGTGGCACATTGCAATTTACATGCAAACAAATAAAACCACCCACCACCCAACGTATGGCCTTCCCTTTCGCACCGCATTGTTTGCTTTCACCACCCAACCACCTCAAACCTTCTGTCTGTCTGTCTGTCTGTATGGCTGTGTATATATGTGTGTGTGTGTTCGCTCAACATTTCAATCAACGCTCGAGTGAAATGTGGAAAAAAAATCATAATAAAAGCAAGGATAATATGGCAAGCGAGTGGTTTGGAGGAAGTGGTGCCGCCGCCCAAGCGGAAATGGATGCGCATCACAAAAGTGGCACAAATTGTGTGGCATGTGTGAAGACGTGGCATGCAGCCACAAAAGCGAGGATGATATAGTTTCTTTAAATGTTTAATATAAAATAAAACACAACTTATTTTTAGTTATAACACAAAATAAGTTTTAAACATGCAAAAAGTAATTCAGTAAACAGTCATTCTCCATGATCAATTCAGCTATCTTAGAAATAGCAAAACCATTAAATACATCTTTGTAGTATCGATGTTATAATATCATAAAAGAAATCTCATATTAATGAATTATTAAAAATATTTTCAAATATTTACCAACAAATTTGTTTCAATTTTGTATTGAATTAAGATAATAAATTTCATATATTTCTTTTTCTATGTTAATGGATTGCGATATATTTATTCCGATTAAGGTATATCTGGAACTCTCCGATCGAAAGGATGAATTTCGTCAAAATTGTACTCCTTGTGGCCACCTGAAATGGCAACTTTTGGATGGGAATCCCCGCTGCAACAGCCGCTGTAACACGCTGTAAATCCAAGTCCCCCTCCCAAATGGATTGCCATAACAACCATTAACCGAGATACATTTTAAATCTCGAGCAGAGTCCAACCAAAAATGGTAAAAAAAAAAAAAAAACTAGTGGAAGGGAAATGCGACGACCAGAACCAAATCCAAAGTGTAAACATTCACAGCCTCCGTTTGGCGAGAGGGAAAAGCTTGGTTCGCCGTGGGTCTTTGTGGGTCTTTGTGGGTTGCGATGGGTGGTTATGGGCGCTAGACAATGCTGTTGGAATGCCCCACCCACAAGCCACAACCACAACTACGCCCACCACCCTGGACACCAACAGCTTCCTTCCGTACTGACGTTTGATGTGCAGCCATGGGAGCTTTATATTTTTTTTTAAGAATGCGAGTGGGTGGCAAGCACGCAACCAACGTGTGGCAACAGCTAACAACTACTGCAAAAAAAGCGAACCAAAAAATGCGGTATTTATTTCAAACAAGCTCAGCACAGCAAACTGAAAAAAGGAAAAGGCTGTCCACAAAAAGAAACACGAGTTTTTCAATGCCTTTGCTCCGGATTCTGATACTATTGCCTATTGCAAGCACTTTTCCTACAGAGAGGAAAAATCTTTAAATAAAAAAAATAAGTAAGGTTCATTTACACACATTGTTTTTGTTTGTGTCTTATTATAGTTGTTAAAATAAATAAAAACCATTTTTAAAAGAACAGATTGTTTGTAAAATTTTAAAATAAATAATGAAAGTTTGAGCAGTTTATTTTCCATGCTGGAAAATAATTTTTTTAGTTTTTTATTTTAAGCTTATAGTGAGCTTCAGGCAAATGACCATCTCTAGTTAATATTGTATATTTTGATAGTAAAGAGTGATCTCTGTTTTACACAAAAGAAAAATACAAAAAAAAAATTAAGATGGTTTTTTTTAGTGCTATCCCCACACAGACACCCGATGCAATTGCTTGGCAACAGCTTGTGGGGAGGTGTCGCTAATGAAGTCGCAAACAGTCGGTGGCAGCAAAAAAATTAAGCAAAGAAAGTAACGCAACGCTCTACATATCCAACCGCATCCGCATGCCTTCATTGTAATAGAAATTATAAGCTTATCCCCCTCCGGCCAACCCACAACCCCCGCCCTTGGATGAGCTGTCGTTTTAGCAACACGTTGCCCATAGCCAAGGATTGCATCTATTGTTCCAATGGCCACATCCGCCAGTGGATGGTAATTGAAAACGGGCAACGTTGCTCGAGCAATATGCGAAAAAGTTCTAACATTTAGCATGGTTATACAAAACACACATTCGACAAAACACACATTCGATACATAGTAAGGTTATTCGAAACGAATTTAAAAGCCTACAGCTAATTGCATAGAACATATTTTATTATTCATTGTAACCCCTAATTTGTAGGGGATGGAGTTCAATAAAAATGTAACCACAGGTTTTAGAGTTTAAATATGAGTTTCGAATATTTGACGACATATTAAAATGTGTTTTTAAGTTAATGTAGTTAATATTTGTTAAATTACGTTTAATATTTTTATAATTTGTTTATTATTGCTATTACAATAACCTCTTTTTGGCCATTAATTAATAAAAGCACTGCCCCACGTTGGGCGCCAATAAAATAATTACGATTTTAAGAGCTTGCCAGTGACCTTCGACCTTCGACCTTCTATCCGATCTCAACTAACTGAAATGTGACAACAGTGCAAGTACCGAAAGCGATCAACCCATGGACCAATGAGCTTCCGTCCCGCTCTATTTTTGAAACCTTTTTACCTTTCTTCGAGGGTGGTTTCCATTAACACTTTTGCACTGTTGCTGCTGGTGATGTTGCTACTGCCGCTGTTGCTGCTGCCGATGTTGCTGCTGCTGCTGCGGCTGCCGCTGCTGATGCGCACCACCAATGCCGAAGCGACTGGGGCGCACCACCCACCTAGCCAAATGCCGCTTTTGCTCTGCCGCCGCTCTGCTTACGCCTCGTTTCATTTACAACAATTCATAATTTTAAAATCGCACCGAACTCGCCTCGTTCTGGTTTTCTGGTCTCGGTCTCTGTTTTTCTGATTCTGTTTCTGTCTCGGCCTCAGGACTCGTTGGATGCTGCTCTGCTTTCCTGCTGCTACTGCTGCTGTTGCTGGCACTCATTTCATTTGATTTTTAACTGTCATCGACGGCAGTTCAGACCGCTAGCCACGCGTTTTCCATCCTGTGCTTAATATTATTTATATATTTTTTTAAAGTGAATATAAGCAGTGCAAAATAATTTCAACAAATATATTTCTTAACTCGAGAAACTTAGGTGAGAAATGTGATCTGTTTGAAAGATCGGATTGTAACTGTGTTATCTAAACTAAAGTTTGTCTTGAGCTGATAAAAATATTTCAATGTTATATTTTGGCAAATATGGAAAATGTTTTTGATCTATTCCATTTAAGCTTTTAGTCAATCTTATTTGTAGAATATGCGCTATAGGTTTAAATGATTTCGAATATAATATAATTTATATAATTAAACTCTGCAGAAAGTTAAAGGCTGAAAATTAAAAGTTTCCAAATCTTTTTAAGTTGCTTGACATTAATTGACAATTTGCCCTAATTGTTATACAATAAATGCATCAAAATAAAGGTCATATTGCAAGAAATGTATAATTCAAAGATGTAACCGGTATTTCAAACATGAACATATTTTATGCATTGCCTTAATAATGTCAATAACAGGTTAAATTAAAGTCTACGAAATGCAAATATATTTATGATACGGTGTTTTATAAGTCACTGGTAGGCAATTTTTTTTCCAAAATGAAAGCAACAATCCCGCATGCAATGAAACAAATCTACTCCACATCAATCCATCCACCCATGCTATTCGAAGTGAACTTCCAACTGCCCCTGGAAAAATGATTTATCCATTATTTATACGCATTCAAGGGTTGCACTTCACTCTGCCCAATTTTCCAAATATCTCGTGCCAACAACTCGGATCACTCTACATGGGGAACCTGTCAAAAAGGGTTCAAATCAAATTCGATTTGGCAACGATACGTTGCATGTGAGTCTCTGGCAGCGGGTAAAGTTGCAAATGAAATTTTGGCAAATTTTCGGGCTACGCACACGGACAGAGAGTTACGGACAACGGACAACGGACAGAGAGATCCGGATGTGGGGCTGGGGTCTTTGTCTGCCGCCGTCGACACACATGGACAGAGAGCCACAAGTGGCACATTATTTTAATTCGCAGTCAAACGCTGTAACGTTAACACCACAACGACATGTCACCAACAAACCAACAAGTTCATTTGTCTGCATACGAGCGAGTATATGTTCGGGGTGGGTTAAACACAGGGCAGGAACAGGACCCTCAACGGGCAAGGGTTAAAAAAGCCATGGACAGAAAGTAGAATAATATTTTTGATTTATTTTGTATAATTGTTAAAGAGTACACTTACTTCGAACTAATGCAAATGCTGAAACTTTTCAAACTAAATTAGTTAATACAGACCTTTGAAATTCAATCACCGGACACATTTTAATGATTTTTTTAACTTAAAATCTTTTACCAATAATCGCCTTTGGTTGGTATTTATTTTGCTTCATTATTATGAATATTACAAGAAGTTTGAACTGAGCTTTTAAGGCCCCCAAGTTGGACGGTAATAAAAACATAAATACATTTATTTTCAGACTAATTAAGATTTTAAAAATCCCTAAGGATTCTCGATATTTTGAAACTATATTGTAGATAAAACTTATTTGTGTTCTTTTACCTACAAAAACGATCATAATTGATCAAATTGATCATTAAAATTGAGATCCTAAGGCCCCACGTTGGGCGCCAATCATAAACTAGAACCAGCTTTTCGCTGATCAGGGCCTGAATTTCGACTCCGTTCGGGGTTGCACACCAGGTGAGCCCGAGAGGGTTGCTACCCAACGCCATGGGTGGGGATATGAACTCCAGAAGGATTTCGGAGTGGGGTGGCAGGGACAACTTATCGTTGTTTGATATGCTGTAATTATGTTATAAGGTTGCCCAACCCAAGTGCCAGTTAAGTGTATGCTTGCAAGGGTTGCCCGCAATCCCAGTCGCCTTTCCACTTACCTCAGTAGGGGGTGGCTTGAATTCAACTTCGATGATGCGACATCAATCAAGGGCAGCCTTGAGTGGGTGGTTCACCGCCCAAGGGGAATCAGTAAGGGATTACTCTCTACTCTGGTTTTAATTGCCGTGCTGTTTGTAGAGCGTAAAAAAAAAAATATGCAAAAGTTAGTGCTCAGCATATCCCCAGACGAAAGAAAAACAAAAGTCGGACCAAGTCGGGATGCACTTTGCGCATTAATCTCAGCTCCGTTCTAAGTTCTTGGTCATATTCTCAGCTGCAAAAGTTGTGCAGAAAAACTTGGGCTTGGGCCATAAAAGAAAGTTGCCGACAGCTGCTGATTGAATATTAAAATGCTGCCAGTTATTCTAGTGCCACCACAACCACAAACCCCCACAAATAAAAACTGGCAATTAAAGCCCTGCCCAGCATCAATCAGTGCCGAGAAAATCAGCGGAATTTTCACCGAGGGCCAGATGCCGGGATGGCCACGCCCACCGCCCCCACACCCACCGCGCCTTAATTAGCATAATCTAATTTCAACTTTGTCGCAAAATCCCCCCTTCTATTTTGTACCTCTCCCGAACAACGGCTGCCAAAAAATGCAAATCAACACCACCCGTCCCTTGAAAATCTCCCCCTCCACAGCCCGCAATCATATATTCCTTTTGCGACAGTTGAAAACTTTATGTATTTTTACAACGAAATGAAAAAACAATAAAAATTTCTCAAATCCAACATGGAACAACAGAAAAAAACAGAAGGAATGCAAATGAATGCCACAAGAATACGTCTGGAAGTGGCAATACCTTAACTTATAAATATTATAAATATGGTACAGTCCAACTAATGTTGATATAATGCTTCTGGACTATCAAAGATTGGAGTCTATCAAATAAAGTTTTTTAATTACATTTAAATGACGAAAAACCAAACAAACTATAATCTTTTAAATAAAAGGGTGTTGAAAAAATGTGATGACCATACATTTTACAAAACGTATGCCTCTCAACTTCTAAAAAGAATTATCAAAACCATTCAACATAGAATAACCACTGCTAACGAAACTTTGATGACTATTCGTATATACCCCTTTTGGGGTATTACAGGGTACTCGGTTACAGGCGTCGGCGGTGGCTTGTTAAAAACTTTTTAAATGCGAAAATGAAAGAGCAACAAGGCAGTGGCGCTTCGCAGGGGGGGTGGGGGGAGGGAGGGGTGTTAGCAATGAGTGGTAGGTAGGTACACTGTTCCTGGTTAGAATTGACAGGCACACTGGCGCAGGATACAAGCAGCCAGGACACGGCGTCAAGTGCCTCAACAGTTTGGCAACACAACAATTGAGTTTGTCCTCCAATGTTCGCGGAAATTGGGGGGAGGGGTGGGGGTAGGTGAGGTAGGTGTGTCACTGCTGTTGAAACATTTAATTTACTGGAATTTGGCGCGATGTGTGTAAGCTTATTAACAACTTGGTGGGATCAGCGGGGAGTTCGACTCGAAAAAAAAAATGTGAAAAGGGAGGGTGCGAGATTTTATCGCCTGTTTTTCTATGCAAATTTCAACTGTTTTTGGGGACTGGGGACAGATGTTGGCTTAATAAAGTTATAATAAAGGTAGCTTAGCTGGCGGCAGCTGTGGAACAATGGATTTTTGATGGACGCACATGGAAGTTATGCTGCTAAAATTATACGACTACAGAAATCTGGGTATCTATTGGCAATTTCATAATGAAGGAAATTCACAAGGTTTGATGGCTAACAAACAGAAAGAGTGTTTCATTTTGTATTATGACAAAAATAATACAAGTTTTCTTGCCTTTCTGTTATTACCAATAGACTTCATTCTACACATATTATTATCCAATTTATTGGCTGTTTTCTATTTAAATTAGGCACCCTACCCTTTTATTTTGCACAACTTTTCCTGTCCGTTTCCATTTCAGTCACTTTTAAAACGCTTTCAAGGCTAAAGCCAAAGTCCTCCAACAATTTCTTACCACCCAAGAAAACTCACTCCTCAAAATGCAAGATAAATTCACTCAGAGCAAACAGAAAATTCAGATTTAATTGTCCCATGGGCAATGGAAAGGAGGTAGCATGGAAAAGGCGGATGGGATGCCAGTCCAAGACAATGCAAATATATCCCTACACAAATATAAATCTCAAGTGACTTCAGCTGCAGAACTTACCCAGCGTCTATTGTGTGTCTTTTCCATTTTTCCTCTAGAGGCGGCAATGAAGGACAACGGCAACATCTCGTCGAGCGGCACAGCGGGAATGGGGATAACTTGCACCGTCGGAGGAGCAACGGCAACAACAACAACGACGGCGGGGGCCACCTCTAGCAATGCCACGCCCAGTGCGCCCAGCACGCCCACAACAGCAGCAGCGGCATCTGCCGCAGACCCCGCATCAGCAGCAGCGCAGCAAAATCCACAGCAACGCAGCAAGAGCAACATCCATGAGCTGAGAAACCAGGACTTCGTCAGTCGCCTAATGGCAGCCACTCCACCGTATTTGTATTCCGCTCCAGTGGGACCGAACAATTTCTTTTTCAGCGACATGCTGCGCTCCTTGGTGCAGGCGCGAAATAATGAGACCGCACGTGTGCTGCAGCTGCAGCAGCAGCAGCAACAGCAGGCGCACCAGCAGCAGCAGCAGCAACAACAACAACAGCAGCAGCAACACCAGGCTGCTTTGGTGAGGCGACCAAGAAAGCGTTCCTGGTCGCATCGTCCTTACTACGAGCAATTGCGAGAACGACGCGATGCAGAGGAGAAGCAGCAGCAGCAGCAGCAACATCACCAGCAGCAGCAGCAACATCACCAGCAGCAGCAGCAACATCAGCAGCAGCATCAACAGCTTCAACAGCAAATGGCGCCTGAGAAACCGCTCGAGCTAACCAATAAGACAATAACGCCCTTTGGCTATGCCAAAATGGAGGCCAAACCACCCATAGCAGCATCAGTAGCCACAGCTGCACCGCCCAGCACCACCAGCAGTAAATCTGGTCTGGGTGGTGCGGTGGATGCCAGCCTGCAGGATAACACACCGCCGGCGGCCTCGTTGCCGCCACAGGATTTGGTCCTGCCACCGCCACCACCCGTGTGGTATCCACCACTCTACGCCCCCTACGGCATCGATCCACTGCACTTCTTCATCGATCTCCGGGTGTCCGGGCACATATACGACAGGAAGAAGGAGAATGTCTCACCGCTGTCGAGTAGCAACAATGCGATTGCCGATGAGGGATCACCGGGGTCCTGTTCCTCGGCGGGTGCCACTTCCGGTTCCGGTTTGGCCAGTAACTTGCTGAGCAAACAGCGTCACGGTTCCGCCTTCACCGTACCAATACCCAAAGCAGCCCAAAACGATGCCATCAATCTGTGCGCCAATGCAGGCGGTTCAACGGCAGATGGAGTGACCACCACTACATTGGGCAGCAAATTCGAGCACTATGCCAAGTACTACGATCTGGGTGAGACCAAGGAGAATCAGCCATCCAGTACGGCGGCCAACCTTTCGGCAGCCGCTGCTGCCGCCGCTGCAGCTGCGAATCTTTCGAAATCAGGAGCCAGCTATATGTTGCAACATCTGCCACGGCTATATAGTCAATTTGCCGCCCATCAGGCGCAGGTGCAGAGCCAGGACACGGATGCCAAGTCGGAGTCCGCATCGGTTAGTGCTTCACTTTCGGCCCCTGATCTTTGCGACGAGGACTCATTGGGTCGCAATTCCAGTGACACCGGGGCCGGATTGGAGGGAACTAGCGGTGGGCAGGGCAACTGCGACATCGACGTGGAGATCATAGACTCCATCAAGTATCGAACGGATGGCGAGAGCAGTCGCTGTTCCAGTAACGACGAGGCCTCCATCACACAGATCGATTGAGGCCACAGTACCAAAGTTTATCAATAAAGTTAATATGTCCATGGTATATTTCAAAGCATTTTATTTGGAGGGAGAAGGTGTCAGAGAAATGAAACTAAATGATACCAGTTTTCCTGGTTATGAAAATAAATTTATGTAGTTATGTTGGGCATGATAATTAAAGCTTTATTTAACTTGCCTATTTAACTATTAGTAAGCTTTTAAAGACCTTGAGTTACATCCTCTTTACACATTCTGATTTCTATTTTAATATTTTGTCGGATTTTTGCTCAGAAGGTGTAAAACATTGTCTGACTTGTTGAGGCCTTAATGAAAAATAAACAATCGGCAGTCTAAAACTTCTTAGAGTAATTTAAAGAAGATCACAAAAAACATATCTTTTTTAACATATCCTTACATTCAACGTGCCAGAAAAAGGAATTAATTGAAAACGTGCCAGAAAAAGGAATTAATTGAAATATACCATCAAATACACTATCAAGATATTATATGTAGATATACGCATTGGAATAAATAATTATTTATTTGATAGTTTAGACTGAAGTCTCTCATACAGCCATTCGAATAACAGACATGACAGCTTCCATCCAAATCTACTTTCTTCAGTTGAGGAAGTTCCTTGCTCTTCCTTTAGAAATGTGCAGCGGTAAAAGTAATTTCATAAATCATTTGACGCCGTCGTCGTCGCTTGTTGGTTCATCTTGCTTGTTGTTGCTGCCTCGAGGCATTTTTTAAATGTCGTCGCGCGAATTGTCGAGCATCATGCCCACCCGTTGGGCGCCAAAAATAAAAAAAGGAGAGCATTCACCATCATACCGCTACAGAGCATTACACGCCTGACTACGCTTTGTGTAAATTAAAACTGCTGCCGGCTGCTGGATGATGATGACAACGCCCCCCAATTCCCGCCACAATTCTCTTGCATTCCTTTTTTATTTATTTGGTTTTTTTTCGTTTGGGCCCCACAGGATATTAATTTTTACACCATTCATTGATTTTGTTTGCTACCCGGTTGCTTAATGAACACATGCAGTGGCGACTTGTGCGTTCACCAGCCTCGTTTCCGTTTCCGTTTTTATTTATGTTGCTTCTTGTTTTTCACCCAACATTGTTATCAAACGTATGGATTTCCATGAGTTTGCAAATTTCTGCACATTGAGGCAGAAAAAGTGCACTGAAAGCCAATCAGAGCAGTAAAAAACCAAAACAAGTACAGTCCGAACCAAAAGTTGTCGATAAAAATTTGCATGAAAATCGGAAGGAGATTGGTGGGGGGGGGGCATAAAAAAAGAGGCAAAGTTAAGCTCTCATCATCATTGTGTAATCAAAGTAAGTAGCTAAAAGAGATAGCAGCGAAATTGAAATTCAACCTAATTGCAGGAAATTTATAACTCAACTTAACAGCTGACAGATTTTTCCCTTTTTGGTGCCGCGAGGGGTTTGTTCCAGTAAGAGGAGGGTCCTGTCATGAGTACCAGCGTACTTTTGTTATCCTCTCGAATTCATAAATCTTGGCAGACGCTCATAATTCATGCAACAGTCGACAATTGGCAGCGGTTCCCACTCAAGACGATGGGGAGGGTTCGGTTACAGCGGCATAAGCTCAACTTGCGGCAAAAACAAATTTTCCCAATGACAAGACGGGCTAACTGGCAACCAACAAAAAAAAAAAGAATAAAAAATGTTATAAGAAAACCCAACGGAGAAGCGATGAAAATCCTTTGGCTGAGGGTGGGGTTTTTTAACAAACAATGAATGCAGCTTATCCCAAGGGGACGAAAAGTACTTGGGCGTGTTGACAGCTTAAAGCTTTTTCCTTAATTGATAGATTTGTTTATTTAAAACGGAGGTACACGAAAGAAACCATGGAAAAGGGTTATTTCTTAAGATAGAATTGGAATCTATCATAGTTTGAGAGACTTCCCCATAATTTTTCAGTTCTCAACGGTATTCTTTCAACACCAAATGGAATTTAACTATTTTCTAAGTTGAAGTATAAAAAGCAATTGAAAAAAAAATTTGAACAGTTAAATACATTTACTCCACAAAAAAATCACTTAAAAAAGCCAAATATGACCAAAGCTAATATATTAGGACATTTTTATACAACTTGGGTTGTTTTTTAAATCTTGAAAAACATTTTGAGTTTAAAATGTTTATAACGAAAAATTCTTCAGTACAAAGAAACCAAACTTATACATATTTTAAAGTTATTGAACATTAAAAAAATGTATCACTGTACACTAAAATTTAATATAACTGCAATTTATTTTTAATATACAATCTTAAAAGATACAGTTTAATATATTTTTTTAAAAATTTTCTTATAATCATTTTTTGGAGTTCTTCATTTGTTTTTCCAATTTGAATGCAAGCCAAAACCGATACCGGTGGCGCCATCTATGGCTCGGTTTATTACAAAGAAAAGCCGTTAGAAGGCGCAATGCTGCCCTCTGCAACGTAAGACGAAAAACTTAGTGCTGCCAATCGCCACATGGGCAGCACTGGTATGGCGGGCATTTCGAAATGTTTTCATCTATTTGCATTTGTTGCTCAAAACAATTAACAGTCAATCGAAAGTCAAACTAACCAAACAAATTAAATCAGATTAACTTAAAGCACACACAAAAAAAGGTCTTGCATTTACCACAAAGAGCGATATTTGGCCTTCGGCAAATTATCATGTGATTGTGAGTGCTCGCATTTAATTTTTTTTTGTAGTTTTTGTCAGTATTTGTTCTGCTTTTGTTGTATTTCTACTACACGTTTTCTTCAATTTTGTGCTTGTATTAAATTCATGCTTGTAAATGAGTTCAAAATGCTGATTATATTAAAAGAGGAACGCGCTTTATTTGCTCATACATATTTATGAGAAAATTTTCCAGATACCATTCGTTGTGATTTGTTTACTTATTGTTATTTATTTGTTTAGTTTCGTTTTTTGCTAATTGTGGCAGCACGTCACAATAAAAAAAATAAGATCAAGTAGCATGCATGAAGAATCAAATAGTTTTTTGTTTACGTTTTTGGACAAGTATTTTTTAACTGCGCATTTCTTAAACAACAACAAAAAATACAACAATAACAAGGGAGGGTTCAAAATGAAAAAAGTATAAAAGAAAAAGAAGATAGGTGGCAAAAACGAAAAAAGAAGACGCTAAATCAAAGGCAAATGTAAACGGGATCATTTAAATCAAGGCAAAGTGCGATCGAAATGGAGCTATATAAGCTAAGCGAGTGCGAGGGAAAAAGAGCGATAAAAGGTAAGAGAGGAAGGTTAAGAGAGCCAATTAAAGAGCGTAAGGGAGCAAAAGGGAGAGAGCGAGCGTCAAGTCGCCGTTATTTGTTTGATATTTATCAAGAGCAATAATAACAACAAAATATAACAACAAAAATAAAAGCGAGTGACAGAGAAAAAAGTACCAAGAGGGGGAAAATCATTTCTTTGACATTTTTAATGTCCAATAATAACAAAACCAATACGACACAAACACATTAAGGAAAGTTAATAAAACTAAAAACAAAAACATAACACAATAAAACTATTTTAAATACACGAAGAAACAAATCCAACACCTTATAAAAAAAGGACATTTTATACCAAAAAACACAATTTAATAAAAAACTACTAAAAAAAAAACTCCACCATAAATTTACAAGACACCTCATTAAAAGAAAACTGAATGGAAAAAAAACTTATAAAAAAAAGCCATAAAAATAAACAAGGACTTAAGAATAAAAGGGGAAGGGGAACCCCAAATCGTTGACTTCTCTGCAATTTTCCGCCTATTTTTACACGCTCTTTATGCAAGGAAAAGCGAAAGAAAAAGAGGGAGAGAGAATGAAAATTAAACATGGCTAAATGCGTCCACCCGCCCGCCACCCACTGCCCCTCCCCTATCATCTTCCCACTTTTCGTCTCTTTCGACGACCTCACCTAGACAATAAGGAAAAGGAGAGTGGGAGAAGATGCCACCTTGGAACAAAAATGCAAATGGAAATGTGCATATGCTTTCCGATCTATCGATAGATAGGTCCACGTACGGTAGATATTCAAATTAAAGCAGTTAAATAATTACAGATCACTAGATTGACAACGGTAGGCTTCAGTAGATATTCAAACAACTAAACATTTAAATTTTAAATCGAAAATTTAAGAAAAGCTGAAACTATCAATTACAGATCAATTGATAAAAAAAACCCCGCATATAATGAATATTTAAAATAAACAACAAGAAAATTAAAAAGTCTAAAAGAAATTGTATTCTTAAATCTTAAACAGCATGTTAAATTTTTCTCAATTTTATAAACTAACATAAATCTTTAAAACACCCCCAATAACTTCTTATGAATCTGTTATTTTTAACTATTCATACCATATTTCGCAACTTCATGACACTGTACATATACGCTATCTCGTTGGCGTCCCATCAACAACTTTTATCGGGCTATATAGCCTCCGATTTGCATCTCTATACCTCTAGCTGCTAAAAACGTTTTTTTAATACCTTAAGAATTTCGCTTTTCTGTATCTTACTTATTTTCCTCTCTGCTGCGCCGCTTTCGATCGTTTGGTTTTCAGTTCATTGAAATTCAATACATCAGCCGGCACCATTCACGAGATCGGAACATTGAGGCAAAAATAATCGAAATCATTGGATTAGTAATTTTCTTATAATAACCAGAAAATATACAAAACCTGTTAAGTTTTGTGTGTAATCAAATATATTGGAAAGGTATCAACATAGCTGATAAATATTTTAATATATATTTAAGCCCCTGGAAATTACAAAAGGCTCAAACAAAAATTATGTTATATACATATGCCTTAGAAAGTTTCTATAATAATGCAATTTTAATTATCTTGAAAACTATTTCACAGACATTAATACGTACCCTCATAAAATTTGTTCTCTTGCTACTACTATATCTGCCATCTCTAATCCCATTAAGATAATGTTCCGCTAAAGGTTATGTCAATTATTCAGTACCAAACATTTGATATACCCCCCAT